TATTTACTTGTTGCCTACCGATTTGTTATATCGAGGTTGCACTGTATATATAAAAGACCCATCGTCTCATACAAAGTTTTGAAACATCACACAATGCAGTTAGGTCTAACAGCGTGTGTCTAATCTGACTCAGTCCCGTATTTATACATATTAACCGGGCGGTCTTCAACGACTTCAACTAAGACGTAGCTTGTAAAATGTTAATATAATCGACGCAGACTCGTAACGGGAGTGAGCTTCGACTTAATCGCATATAAAATTTGCATCTGACTTACGTAGACAACGCTTGTTTTATTTGCAATTTGAAAGATAAGATACGATTGTTTTAATAGTTTGACGTTTACGATTCGATCGTCCGCGCTGTATTCAAATAAACCAGAGGTCCCGCAGTAATCGAAATTCGACTACAATTAATTGTAATTGTAAGTTTGTACACTATTATGATTGTATTTTATACTTCTATAATCACAAATTTCGCTAAAAGTACACTATAAAAAATATTAATAAAGACAAACAATATTTAATGTATTCTTAATTTGACCACAGAGGTCAAGAACAAAAGTTTGACAATAAATAGTATGCATGCGTGTGTGCGTCAAATACATGGTATGTAGTGTGTGTAATGTTTTCTTTATTGATTTAATGTATCTTTTATGCATTATTTAAAAAAAAAATTAGCATTGTGTACTTCTTCTCTATATTCTCTATAAGTGTGGAATGTTTCATACTCCTCCGTCCGCGCAATTTTCGTAAAAAGGGATAGAAAGTTTTTGCTTCACGTATTAATATATAGATAACGTAACATGATGTATGTACAACTTAGACGTAGGTAAACTTGGACAAGCTAAGCTCATGTAGTATGACAATGTCTTCGGTATTCACGCTTCGTCGACTGATTAAAACTACATATTATACTCATACGACTTCATCTCGCGTTGATTACTTTCATTTTTATATATCCGTTTTTTCTCTCTTATTTAAAAGACTAAGATTTTCGTCCGAAAAAACAACGTTAATACTTCTCAAAAAATAAATAACTTAAAAAGTATTTTCAGTTTATTAAAATTCCTTATTACGTCTTAAAGTAAAGAAAAAGAAACAATATTTTCATTTCTTATTTTCTATAGTAGTACATCTGTGTGCTTACTACGAGCTTTTTAACGTTCTCGATAGCGTAAAAGTTAACTAATTTTTTGATGGAGTTTAAACGTTTGCCTACATTTTCCGCTAGAGGCGCTGCTCCAACTGTTTACAAATTTGAGTTAACTTTTACGCTGTCGAGAACGTTAAGAAACTCGCACTAAGCACACTGCTGTGTATACAGTGCCGCCTGTGGTGTATACATTATTATAATAAATACTATAACAATACTTAAAACGAATGACTACAAAAACTTTGTCCGCGCAAATAAAAAAAAAAGTCTAATTCAATTAGAACTCAATTTACACAGTACACAAAGAATAATTAAATTGAATATTACTATGAGTGCAGTTTAAGCATTTGTGTAGTTTCATTACTTGCTTAGATATCAGAGAACTGGGTTGTTTTTTAATTATCTTAAAATCACAATTTGACTTGAATTTCACAGAATATTAATTGATGTGTAAGTCCGACTAGTAGTTTTATTTTAATGAAGCAAATAAAATGAAATATTATTATATAAAGTTTGATATTGAAGTCTCATTTATACTTAGTCTGGCCATAAATACTGTTACAATTAAAAATAAACAAAATATTACATTTGAATTTGGAATCTGTCATTTTTATATGATTGCTCATTGAGTTTTCTCATTTTGGCGCCAATACATTGTAGAATATTTTGCGATATTAAAATGGAGTGGGGTGATAAAGAGAACCGAATCGCTGTGATTGCATTACACAAAGTAGGTATGTATGGAGCCAAATGCAATTTTTAAAACTCTTCATACGCTTGGTATTAGTAAAATGTTTGTGTACCAGGCTATTAATAGGTGCAATGAGACCTCCTCTGTTTGTGACAGAAAAAGATCTGGCCGTCCACGTAGTGTTCGTATAAAAAAGGTGGTCAAAGCAGTAAGGGTAAGAATTCGAAGAAATCCTGTCCGAAAGCAAAAGATTTTATCTCGGGAGATGAAGATAGCAAGCACCTAGAACCATGACGCGTATTTTAAAAGATGACTTAGGACTTGCAGCCTATAAGAGACGTATAGTAACCGGCAAACATCTTGAGCAAATGAACTTGACTGCGCAGAACCGAATTTTAGATCACTTTGGTGGTGAGGGTGAGGCGCGACGGCAGGGGAAATCGTATCGAGCGCGTTATTGGTAGATCAGTCGAACCTTGCGTCCCGCACCGCGCCCTCGTTCCGCTTGCTCCCAAAAGTACGCTTGCGTACAGTGAAAAGTCTATCGTTATTAATCGTTAAGTTATTTGTTANTCGAACCTTGCGTCCCGCACCGCGCCCTCGTTCCGCTTGCTCCCAAAAGTACGCTTGCGTACAGTGAAAAGTCTATCGTTATTAATCGTTAAGTTATTTGTTATAATTGCTTGTTGACTTTGTTGCCATTGCTATTTGTTGAGTGTTTGTTGATTTTTTATAAAAAATACACTATGCCGCGACAAACTGGTGTAGTATTCAAAAGAAAGTGTAGAAAAATGGTGTACGACGTATATTGCTTCATTATAAAACAGGGCTTCCCCTGTTTTATGTAATGATATGGAAAAAGTAAAACAGACTTCTGAAGCAACAAAAACATCAGTGAGTACTGTCAGGTGCACTATTAACGAAGCTAAAGGCTCTGGCTTACTCGCCGTGTTTGGGACTCCGGGTAAGAAAAGATCAGGGAAGAAGAAAGTTACCAGAATGAATAGTTTCGTTCAATCTGTAATAAAAATATGTAATCATAATAACTACATAACAAGCAGCGAAACTCCGTACCGTAGAAATGCTTCGAAAAATTTCAAGAAGATATACATTTTAATGGCTCGGAATGAAGTTTACGACGAATTATGAAAGAGCTAGGCTTCAGATGGAAAAAAAACAGAAAATAATCAGAAGCTGGTAATTGAAAAAAGTAATATTCGATTACTACGAATCGAATATCTTCAAAAAATAATTAATTATAGACAAAAAAGAAGATCGAGCCGACCGAGTTGTAAACTACACCGATGAGCCCTATGTCGACTCATCACGATGATGGCGACTCGGGTGATGAAAACAGTGATGATGATGATGGTCAAGATTATGATAACGGAAAAAAATTACAAATACTAGCTTCGCTTCAACTGAGCCAAGACCTGGCAACAGCTCTAGTTTTGACTTAATAGAAGGAATATCTATTTTACCCCAAGATTAAATTATTACAATTATTAACCTATATTTTTTGTTGATGTTCTAATAAATATATAAATAAATACATATGTTGATTTTAATAATTTAATTGCATTTTGACGCAGAGTAAATAATGTTTTTGCACGTGAGTGTACCATGCGCAAACTTACCCCCACTACGTCAACAAACGCTCAAGAAGTTTGCCGACTATTATACTGGTCATTTCTTAACTGATAATTTAAAAGAGAATAGGGTGGTAAAATCGAAACAACTAGTGAAGCGGTACGCAAAGGGAAGTCATAGAAAATTTTTGTTTACGGATGAGAATTTTTTTACAATTGAGCAACATTTTAACAAACAAAAGACCGCATTTATGCTCAAAGCTCTAAGGAAGCTTCCCAATTAGTCGACAGAGTGCAACGTAGGCACTATCCGACTTCAGTGATGGTTTGGTGGGGTATTAGCTATGAAGGAGTGACTGAGCCATACTTTTGTGAAAAAGGTATCAAAACATTGGCACAAATGTATCAAGATACCATTCTTGAGAAGGTAGTGAAGCCCCTTAACAACACCATGTTCAATAATCAAGAATGGTCCTTTCAGCAAGACTCGGCGCCAGATCATAAAGCTCGGTCTACGCAGTCTTGGTTGGAAACGAACGTTTCGGACTTCATCAGAGCTAAAGATTGGCCGTCGTCTAATCCCGATTTTAATCCTCTGGATTATGATTTATGGTCAGTTTTAGAGAGTACGGCTTGCTCTAAGCGCCATGATAATTTGGAGTCCCTAAAACAATCTGTACGATTGGCAGTGAATTTTTTTCCCGCGGAAAGAGTGCGTGCTTCTATTGATAACTGGCCTCAACGTTTAAAGGACTGTATTGCAGCCAGTGGAGACCACTTCGAATAAGCTTTTTATACTTTAAATTGTTTTATACTTATGTATTAAACTAACACACTGTAAAAGTAATAAATGTTATTTGCAATAGAATTGTTTTTTCCTTTGTCTCAGTATTTATGGCAAGACTAGGTATGTATGTCCCACAGTACTATTTGTTCGCTTGAAATACGAAAGATTCACACAGAAACATATCAATTAAAGTTGTCTTTTCTTTGTTTTATTTCTGTCGTTCTTCTTATTTTTAAACGTGCTTTGCTTTGACTATATTACGTTGCTAGTAGGTCCTCCACTCTTTGCTGTGTAGAGTTGAATTAAAAAAAAATATACTTTTTCTGTTGCTCGAAACAAACTATTTCGGATAAAATCAACTGAGTCATCATTCTTTATCTTTTCGTTTTTCGAAATTAGCAATAGGAATATAAAATATCTGAAACAAATTTTATTCAAAACACGAATTTGATTTAATTAAAGATTATTTAATGACATCCACTGACAAAATAAATATGTCACAATAATACGAATATTAAAATAGAGACGTTCTAATTGTCCTTGCCGCTACCGAAATCGGCAATAGGAATATAAAATATCTAACACAAATTTTAATCAAAACACGAATTTGATTTAATTAGAGATGATTTAATTACATTCACCGACAAAATAAATGTGTCACAACAAATACGAATATTAAAATAGAGACGTTCTAATTGTCCTTGCCACTACCATCGAAATTGGCACTATGAATATAAAATTACTGATACAAATTTTAATCAAAACACGAACGCGAAATACTCATGCAGCCATTGTGGGGGGCTCGACAACTAAGTAAGGGACCTGTATAGACACAGGAGGTAAGGTGGGGAACAGTATAGGATACTGCGGAGGCTGCTGAGGACTTTGGCAGTGAGGTCTGGTCTCTGGCTCAGAGCACTGCAGCAGCCAGTGAGTCAACATCCGTCCCCGACCCTTCAACTCCACCTCGCCGCGACGCTCCACTATGAATGTTCCCCATTGTTCCAGGAGTACACGTGTGTTCTCACTCAAATGGATACGGAGGGCTGTTAGTGTAAGGGAGACAATTATATCATAAGCTGGATAGTATACGTGTAAAGGAAAACCTTGATTAACTAAAACTATTTGGTTTTCTAAAAAGGATTTTTCTCGAGTGTCATTCAGTAAAGTCTATCATTCAGTAATAAGAAAGCTCAGTTTGTTTAAAATATTAATTTTATTAGATTAAGGGCTTATATATGTTGTTTTCTTATTCGCAATTAACCTTTTATTGTTTATTTATATCTGAAGTACCCAATATCATGGATATAATAATATATTTTATTACAAATAATTATGAAGTACTCACGTTGGCCTGTAGATTCCATTCTACTTGCGGTATTAACGGTATCCCCAAAAAGGCAGTAATGGGGCATCTTAACACCCACCACCCCGGCACAAACCGGACCGGAGTGAACACCAACGCGGACCTGAAGCAAAGCCAAGCTTCAAGCAACCCAAATATATCTCGTTTTTTTTTTCTTTTTTTTGTTGCCCTTATAGGCAGACGAGCATACGGCCAACCTTATGGTGAGTGGTTACCGTCGCCCATGGACTTCAGCAATGCCCGGGGCAGAGCCAAGCCGCGGCCTAAAATATGTTGCCTAAAATATTATTTTATCAAACTAAACATGAACCCGCAAAAAACTTTAAGACTCCATCAGTGACCATTTATTTACATGTAGATTTTCCTCGAAACTCTATCAAAAGATTCAAGTTGAACAAATTAATCTTCTAGTACATTCTCTGAGCTAATGTTGTTTTTTATTAAGTTTCATCTAAGAAAATATTTCAGCTGTATTGTCTACTAAAAATTACATAGATCAACAGTTACTGTAAGTGTAATGTAAGTGATATCTGCACGGTCGTTCGACGAACTCGCTTCAATGAGATTGTATTTAATAAAATCGAGCTGCCACTCATCTGCTTTTATGTGTGTAAAGAATGTGTAAATGTTTATAAATGTATATAGAGAACGATTTACAAAAAAAGAGCTTTCGGATTTTAGCTATGCCCCTGAAATTGTTGTTATCCACGAGCGACTGTATGCAATTACTAGCCGTAAACAAATCTACCCTCAATGTCACAAAAAAAAAACAAAGACTACACTCTGTACCTCATCGTAAGCAAACTCATAAGAGGCTGTAATGCCTGGTCACATTAATAAAGTATCCTTATGTTTCCTATTCTTCTTCTTTGTTGTATCACTCTTTTTTTATTGCTTATATGGGTAGACGAGCTCACAGTCCACCTGGTATTAAGCGGTTACTGGAGCCCATAGACATCTACAACGTAACTGCGCCACCCACCTTAAAATATAAGTTCTAAGGTCTCAAGTATAGTTACAACGGCTGCCCCACCCTTCAAACCGAATCGCATTACTGCTTCACAGTAGAAATAGGCAGCGTGGTGGTATCTACCCGTGCGGACTCACAAGAGGTCCTACCACCTACCTACGTAATTACGCAAATTATAATTTTGCGGGTTTGATTTTTATTACACGATGTTATTCCTTCACCGTAGAAGTCAATCGTGAACATTTGTTAAGTACGTATTTCATCCGAAAAATTTGTACCTGCCTGCGGGATCCGAACACCGTTGTAACGCTAGATACGAATGCACCGGACGTCTTATCCTTTAGGCCACGATGACTTATCAGGGCGGTCGTGGTCGTCATTCAGTATCATTGCTGTGAGCAATGCGTTTATGCTGTGTTTCCTATCTATATAAAAATGAATTGCTGTTCGTTAGTCTCGCTAAAATTCGAGAGCGGCTGAACCGATTTGACTAATTTTGGTCTTGAATTATTTGTGAAAGTCCAGAGAAGGTTTAAAAGGTAGATAAATATGATAATGCTTGGAATTAAATAAAAATAACAATGTTGTTTTTCCTTTGATGTGTCCTCCGTCGGACGGATTCCTTTTGTTTGTTTTAAGTTTATTTTATACAAAAGTTTAGGTCTTTTGAGGCACTACAAAGTCGGCCGGGTCAGCTAGTAACTTGTATAGAATTGAAGATTCTGTTGAGTCATACAGCTACTAACCTCGAGTCGGTGCGCGGGCCGGTGACGGACAACGAAGCCCCTCACTGCGTCGACTATGGCAAGCGCCATTAAGCATATTTCTCTTGCGTGAAGGTCGCCGTTCCTCTCGGGCAGGCCAGACACAACCATGTAGGCGTCTCCTATTGTTTCGACCTTTACAAGATAAATGACAGTACTACAGCAAATATTAATTAAATATTAACTTTGAAAGAATTATTTAAAAATATCTAATCACTTGAAAAAGAGATTTAATTATTGTCTAAATTGGTTACTCATTTTGGATTTCAGGTGAACTGATCACGCATTTCTGTGTGATCGCCGAGAAACTTATTATTTCGGACTCCGACCTGTCTTTAGGTGCAGTATATACGTAGCCAGTTTATAGGTGATTTACATTAGAGTTTTTTTTAATTTTTATTGCCTTGATGGGTGGACGATCTCACAGCCCACCTCGTGTTAAGTGGTTACCGGAGTCTATAGTCATCTACAACGTAAATGCACCACCCACCTTGAGATATAAGTTCCAAGGTTTCAGTATAGTTTGAACTGCTGCTCCACCCTTCAAACCGGAACGCATTACTGTTTCAATGCAGAAATAGGCAGGGTGGTGGTACCTACCCGTACGAACTCACAAGAGGTCCTACCACCAGTGATTACGCAAATTACAATTGCCATGTGTATAGGTCGTTTAAATAGCCCGTAGGATTAGCAAGCTGAAGTGGCAGTGGGCAGGCCACATAGCGCGAAGATCGGACGGCCGATGGGACACAAAGATCCTCGAGTGGAGACCACGTACTGGCAAGCGCAGTGTGGGACGGCCACCTACCAGATGGACCGACGACCTGGTGAAAATTGCTGGGTCACGTTGGATGCAGGTGGTAACGGACTGGCCGCACTGGACATCAGTTGGAGAGGCCTATATTCAGCAGTGGACAGTAGACAGGCTGATGTGTATAGGTCATTTCTTCTTCTTCTTATCAGCCCACAGACGTCCAATGCTGGACATGGGCCTCCCCAAGCCTCGCCACAAATACTGGTCCTGCGCTGCCTGCATCTAGCAGATCCTCGCGAACCTCAATAGATCGTCAGTCCATCTTGTGGGAGGCCTACCCACGCTACGTCTTCCGGTACGCGGTCGCCACTCAAGAACTTTCTGGCCCCAACGACCATCCGTTCTACAAAATTATAGGTCATTTACATTGGAGCTATTCAGAAAAAAACACCAATACAAACCTCCTTACCTTATAAACATCATAAAAACCGATGATCCTGTCGAATGTGCTGTACAAGTCGTTCAAAAGATCCACGACTTGCATGGGAGTGGAGGCCGCGCAGAGCTCCGTGAAACCGACTATGTCGCTGAAGTACACCGTGACGCACTCGAAGCTCTCTGGTTGTACCACTTCACCGGCCATTAATTGCTGAGCCACGGGTCTGTATCGACCAAAATTAATAGTACTTTTTTTTCCCCTACCTATGCTGATAGCCTTAAGAGGCTATTTCAGCTTTACCCTAACGTTTGTAGGTGAGCCCATGGGGCTCAAGCCAGAGTGTTGCTAACATTGACCCTAGCAAGAGCCGTGCTTCGCAGAATCTACCACCGGATCGGAAACGCGACCCACTGAGAAGATCCGGCGAGAAACTCAGTGGGCTGTGTCTATGGGTTAATTCGCTCGTCGAGCCCTTCGTCCCAAGCGACGGGTTCGACGAGGACGGTGACCTCATACATAAACCCTGAAAACATTTCAGTCCTTTTTGGACAATACTGTTAGAGCAAGAGAATAACAGCGCGATTTGGTACCGTCTATTGGGCGGATTAAAAGTTGTAATTAGATTTTGATGAACTATTAACTCAACTACATACACATTGTATCCCATTTGTTCAACAGATAAACTTTATCATTGAAAGCGTTAGAAAACTTACATTACGAAAGTTAATCAAAAGAAATTTAAGTGAAGACTGAATTTGATTAAAACATATTTAAATTGCAATTAAACAAAGTAACATGTTAATTGATAATGAATTATTAATTGATTTTATGTTTAGTGCCTTGCAAAAGATAACATGAAGCCGGGAGATTGCGTTAGGTCTAAGTCAAAAGCAAGTATACGAGTGGAATATATCGAGAACTGTTAACATATATGGCCCCGCGCAAATTTGGCGTTAGCTTCGTGACATTGCGACTTTTTTTTTCCTACCTATGCTGATAGCCTTGAGAGGCTATTTCAGCTTCGACCTAACATGTAGGTGAGCTCACGGGGCTCAAACCAGAGTGTTGCTAACACTGGCCCTAGCAAGAGCAGTGCTTCGTAGAATCTATCACCGGATCGGAAGCTCGACCCACTGAGAAGATCCGGCGAGAAACTCAGTGGGCTGTGTCTGTGGGTTAATTCGCTCGTCGAGCCCTTCATAGCAAGCGACGGGTTCGACGAGTACGGTGACTGGGACATTGCGACGACACAGCAGCTGTGGCACACAACTCACCTCGGCAAAACTTGATATAGTAATTCTTCAGACCGCCTCTTTTCCAACGACAGCTGTTCGGTTTTTTCTTCGACCAAAGATTCGAGATTGTTCGCGTATTGTTCCATACGCCGCAGCAAATCATCCATAAGATTGTCGCAGTACCCCCTAATAGTTAATTTACTGTTAATACTATAAAGTATGTTGGTTTACGGTTGGACTAAAGCAATTACAGAGTAGTACCCACGGGATGGCTGTAGAAAAAAAGGAAGACAGCCAAAACGTTGGGAAGATGAAATAAATAGTGTAGTCGGCCCACATTGGAGTCGAATGGCCAAAAATAGAGAATATTGGCAATCTTTAGAGTGGGCCTTTGTCGAGAGACAAGCTGTTTTGAAAACCACACCGAACGCCGAACGGAATACTTGATTATAAGTTGAATTTAAATTTAATTTATTATTATGTAATTTATGAAGTTATTAATTAGTAAGTAAAACAGCAATAAAGGGTTATTATTATATATTATTAGTATAACAACGAAAGGAAGATCTTCCACCGAACGGGCGATATAGCTCGGTAGACCAACGATCCGAATGTTGTTGTTCGGAAGTTGTATATATGCGCTTTATCTTGAAAATGTCGTAAGCGAGATTCAGAAATCTGTCAAATATCTTGCGTTGTATGATGGCTACGATCACAAGTATGTATGCAATAATCCGGCGCAAATTTTTTAAAATATGTCCAAGACATCTTAGATAGTGAGCCAATTTAAATTAGAAATCCAACAAAAACATCTTAAAGATTTATTGTGTAACAAATTGAAAAATTAGTTTGTGCCTTTTTGGGATTGATGGATAAAAATGTTTATTTATTGCTTATGAGGGTGGACGCGCTCACGGGCCACCTAACGTTAAGTGGTTAAGTGGAATAGTTGTGCCGCTTACGTCTATTTCAGTCCGCTGCCATCACGAAGAACACAATATAACATAACAGTATCAATAAAATATAATCCGTGCAATTCAATTCTAGCAATTGAAGTGCACGGATTATGTTTTATTATTTCCTTATTTATTATTATCTCCTTATATTTTTGTAGCGAGAAAGCTATTTATGGTCCTTATTATAAATTCTCTACTCTTATGTGTACAATGTTTATACCTACATGTCGGTAAGCAGCGGCTTGGTTCTGCCCCTGGCATTGCTGAAGTCCATGGGCGATAGTAACCACTCACCATCAGGTGGGCCGTATGCTCGTCTGACTACAAGGGCAATAAAAAAAAATAAAAAAACAATCATTTCATTGAATATTATCATGATCGAGCGCAAAGAACTCACTTGATATAATTAGCGTTGATAGTGTCGAAGCTCGGTCTATCGTCAGGTGGTTCAGCCCAGCACCTCGCAGCCAGCTCCAGGAGTTCCAACGCCGAGCCTCCTCCACCTCCAGCCGTGACTTCTCCGACGCCCACCACCGGTCGAAACGGCGGTGACTCTCGGGCACAAACACGTGTCACTATCTCTGTGATACAAGTAGTTGCACTTGTCGTTTATAGTATTAAAAAGTAAATCTTTTAAAAATAAATTGAATTATACCTACTGCCGAATTAAAAATAGTTGCATTTGTTGTGTTCTTGTAAAATTATTTTGTTTGTAAAAAATAACTGCAAATTGTTTAAAACCACCTATAGTTTCGCAACGTAACCGGCGCCGCGGCGCGACCAAAATAAATTGTGTTTGCACTGTGCTAAGACAACTCTTATGCAAAAAAGTGTATTGTGTATGGCACCAAAAATATATAATAAAAGTTACCTGATGCTATAAAAAAAGACAAATTATTTTTATTTAAAAAGAACCTGAAAAAATTATTAACCTTAAGATGTTATTATACAGTAAACGATTTTTTAAATGATAAATCATTATGTTAATTTTAAATTCGATTCTTTCTGTTCTTTGTTTTCTTACTCAATTAATTTATTTTGTTGTTTGATATTTTAATTGATTAATATATTTAATATATTTAATTATACCCACTGCCGAATTAAAAATAGTTGCACTTGTCCTTTATAGAAGTAAATGTTTTAAAAATAAATTTAATTATACCTACTACCGAATTTTAATAAATCATATAAAATAATTTTGCTTTAGAAACACGATAGAACACGCTTTATGACTAGAACTCGATAAAGCAAACGAAATGAGTGCAAACTCGAAAAGTTTATTAACAACGATCCCAGGGTCTCGCTATAACCTTACAGCTTCTTCAGAAAACTAGATCAATGAAACGAGTTCAAAACTGAAGAGTTTATTAACAACCTTCTAAGGGCCTCACTATCATCTTCCAGCTTCTTCAGATCAACAGCGAATACCGTATTATAAAACTGTTGCGAGAAAAACACCAGTTTGACAAATTTGATGATTAGATGTAGCGGAAGATTTCATTACATTCATGCATAATAATATTCACTAAAATTATCATGTTCCAAAATTAATATATTTCACTGTTTTTTGTTGTGTTTCTTACGTTACACGCAATGTAACAAAATTTTGACGTCGTCGTGGCCTAAAAGATAAGACATCCGGTGCATTCGTATCTAGCGATGCACCGGTGTTCGAATTCGAAATAATTCTCATAGAGAGTATTTATTAACCGACTCCAAAAATGGAAGAGGTTCTCGAATCGGCAGTTTTTTAAATATGTATTATTATCTCAGCATTGTTTTTTGTAAACTGGTGCTTTTATTGTGCTGAAATCGATTTAATTTTTTATTCATTATTTTCTCTGTCTAGTTATACACATGTCAGGTCAAATTCACAAAGAGGTAAAAAAAAAACAGTAACACAAAAATGCACTAACCTTTATTGGACACAGTCGTAGTATAATGGTGGAATGGTCCAGCTCTGACGACGATCTCCTCCAATATTATTCCAAAGCTGTACACGTCCCCCTTCAGCGAAGACACTGCCCCTGGGTAAACGCTCCCGGCTATCAACTCAGGCGCTGTCCAAAGCAATTCTAAAAACACGAGTTTGCCTATAAGTTTATATTATATGGGGGATGAGCTCACAGACCATCTGCAATTACAGGAGCCCATAGACGTCTACAACATAAATGCCGCCACCTACCTTGAGATGAGAGTTCTAAGGTCTCAGTTTTTACATTACAACGGCTGCCCTACCCTTCAAACCGAAACGCATTACTGCTTTACGGCAAAAATAGACAGGGTCTTGGTACCTACTCGTGTGGACTCGCAAGAAATAATACCACCAGTTCAATCTCTATTAGATAACATAAACGCTCGAATCGGTGAACTGAAATCACGCCAGCGTCTTTCTATCTCTTACAATTATCATAATGGTGTGCTCAAGTGCCCACATTGTGCGCTAAGGCTTAGGAACAAGATCGACTATGTTAGCCATACACGAGCACACCGTGACAATTACAAATGAAGTAGAAAAGGTCACTGTGGCCGAAATCAGCCTAGGACCGTATTGGATCACCAAAAATCATCAGCCCCATCGTCCTCAGCTGGACATAGGTCCCTCTCAATTTACACTAGTGAGCCCAGTTTTCGAGCCTCATATATTTCTTTAGTAGGACTAAAGGTAGTAAGGACTGATAATTCTATTTCTTCGTCACGTTCGCGATGTGTTTTAAGTAATCAATAAAAAGAATTACTGTAATAATAAATGTCGTCCTTGATCAAATCTGTTGGCGTGCAAAGCGCATTAAGTCCGAAATCAGATATCTTGAGCACGAAACGTCCATCGATGAGACAGTTCGAAGATCGGAGCTTCCCGTGAGCACCGAGTCCGCCATGAAGATAGCACATTCCCTAAAAACCAAATCTAAACAGTGAAAAGATAGTCTAAGTCTAAAAAACAACATTATATCTAAACAATCAATCTATATATATAAAAATGAATTGCTGTTCGTTAGTTTCGCTAAAACTCGAAAACGGCTGGACCGATTTGGCTAATTTTGGTCTTGAATTATTTGTGGAGGCCAGAGAAGGTTTAATAGGTAGATAAATATGAAAATGCTCGGAATTAAATAAAAATAACAATTGTGTTTTTCCTTTGATGTGTCCCCCGTCGGACGGATTCCTTTTGTTTGTTTTAAGTTTATTTTATACAAAAGTTTAAGTTTTTTATTTATCGATTGAGGCACTACAAAGTCTGCCGGGTCAGCTAGTATTACATAAAACGTTTATTATTCTATCTATTACAGAAAGCGTAAAAGAATTTAACCAACCATTAAACAAAGAAGCGTCTACAGAACTTTTAATATTTAAATTAACGTGCCCTCGGCGGTGATTAAGACAAACTTCTGACCGCAAACTTAGAAGCGGATGATCCAACAAAGTAATCATACCTGAACAATGTCATGGACAAGTGAAGTCCTGAAATTCCAGTCCAATTGTAGTTCATCGTTAGCGAGTACATCCTTCAGGGATCCTTTGGGGCAATACTCAGTGAGCACAAAGACTAGGGGACAATCCACACAGGCCCCGATAAAACGTGCCGTATTCTCGTGGGAAACGTTTCGAGCCTGATCAAAAGATTTTGCCATTATACACGTGCTTAAATCAAAGGCAAGAAATTATAAAAAAAAAAAAAATCTTACGCTATTTTTAACAAAATAAAAATAATAATTAAAAAAATAAAAATTTATTTTCTATTTTTTATAAAAGCGTATTTTGTTAGTTTTTTTAACCTCTTATTTATTTTTCATTTTTTAGTTGAATTTCAACATTTTTTTAATATTGATTTGTCATCGGTCCTTAATAAGTATACCAAATTTCGAGTTAATCCGACGTTTTGAAGGGTCAAAATCATGTTCAAAGATACATACATGTTCAAAGATAGATAAAGTTACATACAATACATCTGAAGCTAATAAAAGCGTATTAAAATGGGAACAAATCACGCACGGTCAACCAGCCTCAATTTAGGATTCACTATGTTATGGGTACCAGAGATTGATAAACATACTTATTCATGTTTAAATAAATACATATATAGATAATAAACACCCAGACAAAGAGCAAACAAACCTGTTCACCACACAATGTTTGCCCGATGTGGGAATCGAACCCACGACCCTCGGGGCAACATTAAGGAGTGCTAACAACTGCACCATTAAGTCAGCAATACTCACACTCAGTAAATACTTGTAAAGAACACAACTTCTAATGGTCGTGTCTTTCACAATGCTAAATTGACTATGACTATTAAAAGAACACCACCCTATTTAAATGAGGAAAAAACTTTTTCTATAGACGAACTAAACTATCCACCTTAACACACCTGAAATCAAAGTGCTTTTTTTATTGCCCTTGTAGGCATACGAGCATACGGCCCACCTAATGGTGAGTGGTTACCGTCGCCCATGGACGTCAGCAATGACAGGGACACAGCCAAACCGCTGCCTCTGTCGCCCGACTGTGTGCGTGTTGTATCTAAGAGCTCTGTTAACCACTTAACATCAGTTCGGCTTGAACTCGTTGGCCTATCTCAGGAAATTAAGAAATCTTCAGACCTATTCATTAATAAATTCATTAATAGGTTTATATGAACCACGTATAAGTGGTACCGCGTAAAGTACCAGTGTAAAGTAATAAAATTCAATTCAATTCATTTATTAATAAGCAGATAACAATAATCTATCACTTCACACACACACATTTAAATGAAATGAATACGAGATTTAACCGTAAAAACGATTTTGAATCTACTCGCGAAAAAAGAAAAAAAAGTGATATTGTTAAGTTAGTAAAGTAGAAAAATAAAGATTAAATAAGGCCCAAATTTCTTAGAAAAATATAGTGTTTTCAAATGTATTTTCAAGGTCAATTATTATTCTCTTTTAGCGTTGATTGCTTCGAGAAAGCTTTGTAGCCATTAATTTATTATTATTATTATTGTTTGTTAGAAATATAAATCGCAACAAACTTTGAAATTTGCGTTTCGACTTTGTCAAGATATTTTATTTTTTATTTTTAAGCAAACTCGATTAATTGATAGTCTATGATTTCTTTGGTGGAAACATTGATTTTAAAGGTTTGAAATATTATTTTTCTACTATACTTGTGCATGCACACAATATCATTTGTATGATCACATCGATACGAGTACATTCAATCTTTTATGCTTCAGGCTCCAGTCACCGTCCTCGTCGAACCCGTCGCTTGCGACGAAGGGCTCGACGAGCGATTTAACCCATAGACACAGCCAACTGAGTTTCTCGCCGGATCTTCTCAGTAGGTCGCGTTTCCGATCCGGCGGTAGATTCTACGAAGCACTGCTCTTGCTAGGGCCAGTGTTAGTACCTCTCCGGTTTGAGCTCCGTGAGCTCACCTATACGTTAGGGCGAAGCTGATATAGCCTCTGAAGGCTATCGACATAGGTAATAAAAATAAATAAAAAAAAAGCTTTAGGCCACGATGTATTTTAGATCTCAAAAAGCGAAATGAAATTACGAAAATATCTTCACACACGTGAAAACGTTCTACGCCATGAAATGCGTTAAACAAGTCAAACTTAAAAATTCAATTTCGGTTTATTACAGAATTAAATTCTTGGCGTACCTGTTTAATCTCCCAGATTAGTTTTTTATTCAAGTCGAGTTTCTTTCTGTGTATTTTTTTGACTGCAACCCTATTGCCCTTGTAGAGGCCGACGGTAAACGAAGACAGAGTAACCGACGGAGATGCAGTAAGACTGGTAGCTGCTGTACTTCCTCTTGCAGTCCAGCTTAGTGAAAGCTAAATAAACATAGAATTTAATGAATGAATGATTTATTTATTTTAGACAACAACAAGTCCATATGTGTACATAGTATCTTAAGCAAAGAGGTGACGATTCTCCGTTGTTGCTTTCTTACTGTCTTACTTACTTTCTTTTATGTATTTATGTATTACATGAAGTTGTGGCCTAAAGGATAAGACGTCCGGTGCATTCGTATGTAGCGATGCACCGGTGTTCGAATCTCGCAGGCGAGTACCAATTTTTCTGTTGCAATACGTACTTAACAAATGTTCACGATTGACTTCCAGGGTGAAGGAATAACATCATGTAATAAAAATCAAACCCGCCAAATTATAATTTGCGTAATCACTGGTGGAAGGACCTCTTATGAGTCCGCACGGGTAGGTACCACCACCCCGCCTATTTCTGCCATGAAGCAGTAATGCGTTTCGGCTTGAAGGGTGGGGCAGCCGTTCTAACAATACTGAGACCTTAGAACTTATATCTCTATTGCTTAGATGGATGGACAATTTCACAGCCCATCTAGTGTTAAGTGGTTACTGGAGCCCATGTCATCTACAACGTAAATGCCGCCACTCACCTTGAGATATAAGTTCTAAGGTCTCAAGTATAGTTACAACGGTTTTTATTGCTTAGGTGGGTGGACGAGGTCACAGCCCAACTGATGTTAAGTGGTTACCGGAACCCATAGACATCCATAACTTAAAAGCCGCCATCTGCCTTGAGATATGACTTCTAAGGTCTCAGTTTTTACAATACAACGGCTGCCCCACCCTTCAAACTGAAACGTTGTACTGTTTCACGGCAGAAATAGGCAGAGTGGTGGTACCTACCCGTGCGGGAGGTCCTACCACCAGTAATTACGCAAATTATAATTTTGCGGGTTTGATTTTTATTACACGATGTTATTCCTTCACCGCGGAAGTCAATCGTCAACATTTGTTAAGTACTTATTTCATTACAAAAATTAGTACTTGCCTGCGGAATTCGAACACCGTTGCATCGAAAGATACGAATACACCGGACGTCTTATCCTTTAAATCACAACAACTTCGAACTAATATCTAAGTAAGATACTAAGATCACTACGAAGATGTATATTTAATAAAATTCTGTGATGGCGTTTAAATTGGTACCCCAAAACGGCTATAAGCTTTATGAATAATAATGCTTATCTAATAACAATAACGTCGTCTCATCGATTATATTATGTATTTAGATAAAAGAGTGCGATACATCATACGCGTCAATATCATGACTGTACGTACATTGACCCTCACAGACGCGTGCCTAATCATAAAAACTGATCAGCTTTATAAGAGGTCAGCATGTGTGACTTTGGTATATAATATTGGGTAATAAGATCTGGCGTTATTTTCTCCAAAAAAGATGTTACTAACAAATAACAAATTTATTCGATAAATATATTTCAATTATTTTCAATGTACATCATCAGGTTTCAGACTCCTAAAATTTCATTTACAAAGGCTTTTGTTTATGAGATTGTATTTCTACGAAAAAACACAGTTATAGGGTCACGGTTTTAAATGCACAACTAATTCTTTTAGTACATATTTAATTATTGTGATTGCGTAGAAACTGGTTGCGAACTTAATTATAAACTTACGATGCAAAACAAACGGGTTCTCATACAAGTTTAATTGCATATTTTATATTTCAAATGTCATTGTATTGTATTTTATCTGTGCTTCAGTTTTTTTTTTTTTTTTTCGTGTAGATCTATAATGTGAAGGCTAGGCTATATAGTAATTTTATGAAAATACGTGTTTAATTGATATTCCACATTCAATACTAGAGTATTTTTTCGCCATTTTACTCCGAAATTTGTATTTTTTTGTTTAATTCAATAAAAGTGTGATTGACACGAGCAGAAAACGACAACACAACAAACGTGTTTGAAAAGGTCTCTTATGTTACGGTTGGCATTATCTTGACAAATTGTTTTTTATTAGTGTTGTAAGTAGATGATGAGTGGAGACGATGATGAGTGTTTTTTTATTTTTTTTTATTGCTTAGATGGGTGGACGAGCTCACAACCCACCTGGTGCTAAGTAGTTACTGGAACCCATAGACATCTACAACGTAAATGCGCCACTCACCTTGAGAAATAAGTTGGAAGGTCTCAGTATAGTTACAGCGGCTGCCCCACCCTTCAAACCGAAACGCATTACTGCTTTACGGCAGAAATAGGCCTATAGAAATAGGCAATAGAAATAGTGTAAACGATGATGAGTGGAGATGAAGATGAATGGTTACCAGAACCCATAGATTTTCGCCACGGACAGAGAGATCGAATATTCCATTGTATAACTACTATACCACTTTTCAAATCTAGCTCACGAAAAGAAAAATTAACAACGCCTCCGTCTGTAACGCTGCCTAGCATAAGAAGTTGAAAAAGATACGTCATAACACAAGAAAGATAGCGTAAAACGAAAATCATAACAGGGTTTCAGCGTAATATAATTTCTTCGATGTTCAATAAACTATCTTAATCAATAAACTATAATCAATAAAATATTTTTTGTTATTCTAATAACAAAATTGACAACCCTGTAAAAGCACACGGGGAGCGCTCAATTTGTACATAACACAATTACAAAGCAAGTCAATAATTTTAATTAATTAAAAGGCTAACGAACATGTCATTGTTTTGTTTTATTATTGCTGTTAATTGCGTAGAATGTTACGGGCGCTGTGTGCTAATGAAATATTCTGTTTGTAATTCTTATTTATTAAATTATATAAAAACAATATTCGCGCAGAAGTAACACTAAAAATACTTGATCTGTTTATTATTATAATTGAAAATTGTTGCAAACTCTAAAATATATTGAAGATATATTTTATTATTATTTATTATATTGAAGATAGGTATATTTTTCAGATATATTTATCATGCTCATACCAACATACAAGAAAGGAGCAGGTACGCTGATTTCTACGACTTTCTCAATAATTTTGAGATATCAGAGCGCCGCCATCTCTAGTGTTTCCTAATCAATTATTAATAATTCTTGTTTTATATGTTAATATTGCGTAGATTTTTGATAACTCAACTAATAAATCGTATATTCTATTATAAATTAACAAGAAAATATTCGAACCTTAATATAAGGATAAAATTAAATACGACGGAGGTTGGAATTTTACGCGAGCAACCCTACAGGCTACAGCGGAATATAATTTTGAATAATGAACTTTATCACTTTACCTTAAGGACCTCGTTGATGTTGTGTAAGGCCGGGCTCGCCCCTAGTCCGGTACCAACTTCGACGAGTACTTCCTCCGGACGCACCCTCCACGCTATGTTGTTTAACTCCGCGTCGATTCGAGCCTGCCTACTCACGAAATTATATTAATACACAAACGCACCCGTACATTTTGATGGTTATATCTGTGTGCTTAGTACGTTATTTTTACGTTCTCGATAGCGTAAAAGTTAACTCTCCTAACAGCGCCCTTAGCGGCAAACGTACGCAAACGTTCCCACTCCATACAAATTTTGAGTTAACTTTTACGCTATCGAGAACGTTAAAAACTCGCACTGTGGTTTTTTGTTTAAACTTTATGAAACAATCTACTTTTTAAGTTTACACGAACAATTGCAATTCTATTGAGTTTTCTTGAATTAAGTAGGCCTACTGAAAATTATATGGAAATTCAGTAGCGTCTGTCATCAAAATTCACCCAATTCAAATTTATGGCTAGAATAGCTTTTTCACACAACTATGTTTTATACTATTTTAATTTACTATTTTGTCTAGTAATGGACGTCTGGGGACCGTATCTGAATTTTACTATATTATTGGCTGTTGCACCCTTCAACTGGATTACAAGACTAGTTCGCGGCAGATATAGGGAGGGTGGTGGTTCCTACCCGTGCGGCTTGATAAGACGCCCGATCGCTAGAACAGGATCTACTAGAAAACTGAATGCTGTAACCATACTGAGATCTTAGAACTTAATCTCAAGGTGGGTGGTACATTTACGTTGTAGATGTCCATGGGCTCCAGTAACCATTTAACACCAGGTGGGCTGTGAGCTCGTCCACCCATCTAAGAAAAAGAAAAAATTCCAATGTAAAAATAGTTATAGACTTACTTGTATGCTACACACGCAGCCGTAACGGCAAATGTTAAGAACACAGCGAGACCAATGAAACAGTATATTATGACTGTCTGAGCCTCTGTGAGCAGCGTCCAAATATAACATACCACAGTAAAGTATAATAAATATGTAATGCCGTAATCGCCGAGCTCAATTCCATTTAACTTTTAACTATTACAAAGACATATAAATTCTAAATACATAAATAAAGAAATTTATGTTAGATTCTAAGCTATAGATTCTAAATTCAAATGAATTTTGTTTGAAAAATATGGTATTCTATTTTAAAATTCGATTAGAAGTTTTGCGTCATCCACTGTACACATCTTGCGCCGACAGTCTTCTACTGTTTCGAAAATGAAGACAATTTCTTGATAGGAAAAAATTCAGCACTAGAGAGGCAATAAAAAATAACTTTGAAGAGTTCGGTTGCTCACGTACACCTGATTTCTTCAACAAGGGGATTGAAGAATTATCACGGAGATGCATCAATACCATGGGTGCATATTTTGATGTATAGACGACTTTTTTATAAAGAAAATACTTTAATTGTTTGTAAACCAAAAGTTAATTTCGTAGGTAAACATCTAATATATAAGTATTGAACGTTCAAACATTTTTTAATGAATGAATCAAGTCGTCGTGGCCTAAAGGATAAGACGTCCAGTGCATTCGTATCTAGCGATGCAACGGTGTTCGAATCCTGCAGTCGGGTACCAATTTTTCTAATGAAATACGTACTTAATTCATGTTGACGATTGACTTCGACGGTGAAGAATAACATCGTGTAATAAAAATTAAACCCGTAAAATTATAATTTGCGTAATTACTGGTGGTAGGACCTCTTGTGAGTCCGCACGGGTAGGTACCACCACCCTGTCTATTTCTGCCGTGAATCAGTAATGTGTTTCGGTTGAAGGGTGGGGCAGCCGTTGTACTATACTGAGACCTTAGAACTCATCTCTCAAGGTGGGTGGCGGCATTTACGTTGTAGATGTCTATGGGCTCCGGTAAACACTTAACACCAGATTGACTATGAACTCGTCCACCGTTCTGCTCAATAAAAAAAAACTTTAAAAAATGACAAGCCATTTATGAAAAAAAAAAAACTCATATAATGTTACAAAAATAACTTTAGAACTCTTGTATATTTATAATTCGATTATTCGAAATTCGTTTTTGATTAAACTTTATTCCAATCTCGTCGAGTAGTTGCCGACCTCCTTAAGGGATTTAAATTTGACAATGTTTTATCATGATCAAGTATTATAACAACAACCAACTTACACGTGGGTCGCTCGAGAATTCAATTTAAAGTTTCGTGTAACTTTTGCACGTTTTAATTGAAATCCATTGTGCAAATGTTACCATTGAATATTTCAGGAAGTGCTCGAATTTGTGAATCCTCGATTATCTTTAATTAAATTATCGAAACAATATAAAACATGTACGTAGTTTGATTAGAAAACCGGGCATCGAGAAGTGTAGTAAAAATTGAGAAGATAGTTAATGAAACATAAAAGAAATCATCGCCGTGATATAATTTTAAATGAATGCTTGCTAAATAAAAATCATAGTTGACGTACCTTCTAGAAGCAGCGATTGAGAAGGTATTATATCCCAAGCCTAAGAATATAGTAGCGCTCAAGAGATCACTAAAACCGATTTCATATTTCCAGGCCCACTGAATTTTATCAAATTACTTCTGCCGCGACATCATAAAGGACATTATTAGTCTGAATACTTTTTATTGCGATAGCAGGTCTTACACCCTTAGATACTCGTCATAAGTCTAACAATATTTAGGCATGAAGTTTTGTATTAAAAAAAATCAGTCTAACATTCTAACCAATTATTTCTAATACGTTTTATTGGCTTGGTACGCATGTTTCTCTGTACTTATGCTCACGCATCAAATACCGACGACAATGCAAAAATTTTATAGCTTCGCTTCAATATATTGACCAGTCGATGGTAAATTCTGCGAAGCACTGCTCTTGCTAGGGTCAGTGTTAGCAACACTCCGGTTTGAGCCCCGTGAGCTCACCTACACACGTTAGGGTGAAGCTGAAATAACCTCTCAAGGCTATCAGCATAGGCAGGGAAAAAAAAACCAACGCTATAAAAAAAAATGGTTATTTCGATTCTATTTGATTAAGCGTGATTTTTCTTGTTTTTAAACTTCATTTACTTTTAAATGCTATTTTGTTCTACACTGACTGATATTTTAAGTGCATAGGTGATTTTGTTTTTTGTTTGTTACATTTTCACGGCGTTAATTGATAATCATGAGTTTTACATAAAAAAAAATAAGGGATACAAAAGAGAACATAACGTACCGTTCATCTAGAAAATAAGTAGCGCGTATAATAGTCGTTATATTTTGATATTGATCGTAGCGTTGCATTTATTTCACAAAAAATAATAATACACTTTAATAGCATTTTTGTACAGGGTAGGATTTAAAGGACAAATTGATATAATATATCTTTTTTTAATTACCTCCCTGACACGTAGGATCGGTGCCCAAAAACCCGCATCTTGGAGTGTCAGGCGGTGGTCCACGCCTACCTCCCGGCCAGTGGATGGCTTTACCAGGTACCGGCTTGTAGCTACTGTTCAGACCGTGGTAGAACGCCACAACCTAGAGTGCATTTAAAAAGCATTTATATTTCCTCAATATTATCTATCTATGGGAACATATTGAATATACACGGATATACATATAAGTATGAGGAAGTTCATATAGAGTCCCTTCTTTATTTCGCCGTAAAGTCGTGTTTTATGTAATTAACACCACAGTTAAAACAATAGAAATTTTATTGTTATAGCGGCATAAACAATTCTAATTTATTACATTATATTAGTTATTAAACACATTATATTTTTTTTACATTTTAAATTTTTTGGCGGTAAAAGGTCTCGTGTCACAGACTATATTCTTTTTTCCACCTCTCGTGCATTCCGACTTACGCATCATAAAAATGTGCGTTCTTAAACGCCACAAGTATGAATGTGTTTATTTATAGTTGAAAACTTATACACTTTTAAGCTCTTTCGTTTCTGCGTACCTTTTATGGTTTGCTGAAAGAAATCGCATTTATGTATCAATCTCGCCTTTGTATTACGTAAACCGTATTTAATATGTATTAAAGAAATGAGAAACTTAATTAATCTTCTGTGTACAGTAAGCAATGACTAAAAATTATAATAAAATACTCTTTACGTTTCTGGGAACAATTAATAATAACAATAAATTTTAGAACTTTCTACATAAATTACGTAAAATACTTCGTCGAGCTGATAATTAATTAGCTTACTTCAATAATATCATTAGACATTCAAAGACATTACAACTTATTATTGTAACGCTAAAACTCGTTGAATATACTCGTAGTGGTATATAAACTTTATTTACAATAATATTCAATGGAAGAATGATATTTGTTTAAGTATATCAAAACCTATTTTTTATTTTGTTACGTAAATGAGTGACTGAGCTCACGGCCTACCTAGTGCGAAGTGGTTACCGAAGCTGATGCAAATCAGAAGTGAAACCTTACTTATGTTTTGAGAAATCTCAGTAATATAATATAACATTTGTTACGTCGCGGCTGGAATATACAGGACGGTGGTACCCACCCGTGCGGACTGACAATATACTAATATAACATTATTATAATTTAGCATAAGTAAAATCTTGGATTTTTTTATTTATTGCTTAGATGGATGGACGAGCTCACAGCCCACCTGGTGTTAAGTGGTTACTGGAGCCCATAGACGTCTACAACGTAAATGCGCCACCCACCTTGAGATATAAGTTCTAAGGTCTCAGTATAGTTACAACGGCTACCCCACCCTTCGAATCGAAACGCATTACTGCTTCACGGCGGATATAGGCGGGGTGATGGTACCTACCCGTGCGGACTCCCAAGAGGTCCTACCACCAGTAATTACGCAAATTATAATTGAAATATAATAGATAGGAATATAATAAGATAAGAATATAATTTGAAATTTCGCCGTATCTAAATAAATAAATAATAACCAAAACAATAAAAATAAAGTTATTTCCAAATTTCCACAATCACAGCATTCATTAAATTGTATAAAACAAGAACGAATTAACTGATTAAATTTAGAAAAATCATTTTTATTGCGTCCACAAAAAATCACTATCGAGCAGAATTTCTTGAATTTAATGGCTCGTAAATTCTGAAGTCCCGTGGTGAGCTGCAAAGTCTGCGATAAACAACTGCGTGTTATTGATTGAGCACTAAAGAATGAATATTTCTCAGATCACAGTCGGTCGCACTAAAAACGGTTCGAAGTAGTGAACTCTGCTCTGATGGTGTGAGTCAATGGTAAGATGACGGCTTCACCTTGTACAATTCCCCAGGGCACCCGTGTAACATTTAGAAAATATAACAAATAATCCAATAACCCAATCCCAAGCACCAAAAATACGAATACAAAGAGGATTCAATTTTATTTGCTTCTAGACGATTTTCTACGAAGAATTTCATTCCTATGTAAATTTTCATTGCGTTATACTATACGGCTGCTTCAATATTATACTACTATATATTCTAATTACCTTTTCTACTACTATCAAAAATTTAGAACAACAAAATTCTTTCAGTTATGTAATTGTTCCTCACAGCGTTTAATGTTGAATTTTATCATTGTTTTATTTTTATATCCGATATATCATACTACTCACTATTAACACAATATTTTCATCAAATAGGTATCAATTTAGGTTAAAACACCGGTTTCATAAATAAAATAAATGTACAGTAAGTACCTAATTAGTGTACGATGCACGTAACTCAAACGAATTATTTACGACTTATATTTTAGAAATATTGAAAAACAGTTATTATGGATATAATTTATATATAATACAGTTATTATGGTTATTATGGATATAATAACTGTTTTCAATAGATATTTCTCACACATAAAACAAAAAAAAACAAAAACTGGGCCATTAGAACCGTTTTTTTTGACAGTATTTACTTTCCCATAATAAAAAGGAGTAGAGAGTAAGTACACTTGAGCTAATTAACATTTGGTCTTTAGGTGGTAGGAGCTCTTGTGAGTCCGCGCGGGTAGGTACCACCACCCTGCCTATTTCTGCCGTGAAGCAGTTTGAAGGGTGGGGAAGCCGTTGTAACTATACTGAGATATTAGAGCTTATATCTCGAATTGGGTGGCGCATTTACGTTGTAGATGTCCATGGGCTCCAGTAACCACTTAACACCAGGTGGGCTGTGAGCTCATCCACCCATGTAAGCAATAAAAAAAACAAATAAAAAAATTACTCACCTCAAATTTCCCGGTGACCGGATCCAAATCCAAAATCGCGTAGTCAGCATCTCTGTCGCCTACTTTGTCTATACGGACGTGTCCAGTGATGCCTATTACAATATTAATAAAATTCATTCATTCAATATTCAACTTTTTTCGGGAGAATGTATTTCCGTTCTAAATTCTCAGACTGACAGCTGAGACTTCGGTTTGGCTTTGAAGTCACAAGCACATATCCTTCTTAAGTAATACACTAGATGATGACCGAGCTTTGCTAGGATTTTTTTTTGATAACGCCATCTTGTTGTGTCTTTAAAGCGGTTAGTTGCCCTCAATTAAGAAAAATAGTATTATATTCGCCAATAGATGTCGGGAAGAGTTGATTATTGAAAACACGAATAAAACAACATTTTCTGAAAATAAATCGTAGCTAGATCGATTTATCGCCCCCGAAACCCTCTGTATACTAAATTTTATGAAAATCGTTGGAGCCGTTTTCGAGATTCAGATCATATACATATATATTAATATACAAGAATTGCTCGTTTAAAGGTATAAGATTTATATTAATATTTTGTGTTCGACATAAGCTTAGTGAAGATAACCCTCCGATAACACTATATTTTAGAACACGGTTCCATTCTAACACAAAAAGAAAAAAATCCCCGAAACCCTCTTAAAATACAGTACTTCTACAAAACGATAACAAGATTTTTATTTGTTTAAAATTAATTAGAAAATTACATTATAAACTATGGGAATCACCCTAAATTTTAATGCTTACTTTTTATATATAATCGGTTAAATATTACATACAGGCATAGTTGAGATGTGTCATTCAGAAATATTACTCTCCCTTTTGTACTGGCTTCTAGTCCCATATAACACGGTTATATGGGACTAGAAGCCAGTAGCATAACATGGGACTTTGTAAGAACGTATCCGCCGTGTTATAGGAGGGTTCTTTGCGTTAAATAAGCCAATATGTAAATCGTTACTTATAAAAACCATGATTATTAAATGACAACAGTGAATTTTAATAATAAAAATATACGTAATTATAATGACTTTTACGGCTTAGTGTTACTTGACGAGTAGTATACTCATCACGTAACTTAACGAGTATACTAAAACATCTATGATTCTATGTCGATGTTCCTGCAAGACATAAACTTGTTTTATTGATGGTAGGACGTCTTGTGAGTCCGCACGGGTAGGTACCACTACCCTGCCTATTTCTGCCGTGAAACAGTAATGCGTTTCGGTTTGAAGAGCGGGGCAGCCGTTGTAACTATACTGAGACCTTAGAACTCATATCTCAAGGTGGATGGCCGCATTTACGTTGTAGATGTCTATGGGCCGGTAACCATTTAACACCAGGTGGGCTGTGAGTTCGTCCACCCATCTAAGCAATAAATAAGAAATAAAAATAAAAAACTTATTTAACCATCGTTCGGTCCCACAAGAAATATTACTTTTCCTCGGGGTACAGTAGAATATCCGGCTGCTACCCTATAAAGAATGCGGGATTCGTACCATAAAAATCCCGGCCCCACATACGCCGAGTTATATTCCTTCCGTCTCGGATGTCTCCGCCTTCAGTCAATGTCTCGTTCAGGGCCATCCCGAGTAGATACACGCCGTCGTAAAACGCACCGATGAAGAAGTTCACCTATGGATAAAAAAAACAACAACTGGCGTTCACCAAACTATCAAAATTCGACCTTAATCCTAAAGTCGTAAGACTTATAGATTTAGGTTCATTTTTCTTTCATATCTCCTTTGTTTTGTAACTGACATTTTAAAGAAAAAAAAAACAAATCTTTAAAAGAGATAAGACAAGCAAAGGATAAATTATTAATTGACTGTTCTATCTTAAATATGACATGTAACCTACTTAAAGAAATACACCAAGGTTAGAAAAAATAAGGGCAATCCGACGCTCGGTATTCCATTAGCACTCTTTACAGTAGTTACGAGTCTCCCATTATTGATAACAGTAGAAATAATGGCAAAAGCAATGGCCACCGACATAATATCTAGGGATATTAGGGTCTTAGAGCAGCTCATATAATTTTACGCGAATGTATTATGTATATTTTAATACACATTCGAAGTTTCTGAACTCGTCTAATACCGTAAATACATAAATTTCTGAATCCGACCGAAGCCGCACCTTCATTACGAAGCGAACAAAGAATTTCAAGCATAGAACTCCGAAACCGATCTCTTCCGACATTTATAAACAATAAAAAAACAAAAAGTCTATTCTTACTTTTCAGTTGTCAAAATAGACAGGTGAGGAGAAGTGATTATCGTAAACAAAAAGAAATCCACTTCAAACGATCGCCAGCAGCAATTCTTATCAAATTTCTTTTCGTCAAATTTCAAATAAACATTGACGCAGTCAATGTTTTTTTAAGCGTGCTCAATCAAAATATGAACATTAGAATTTTATTGTAAAATTGTAATGGTAACACCTAAGTCCTACTAAGTTGCTAATTTTAAGATTTGCTCTTGGCAACCCTGTCTTCCGTTCCTGTCTTTTAGCCCCGTGCATGGCAAATTGTAATTAAATTATAATAAAATTAGAATAAGCGCGAATGTTCATTTTGCAAGCCCGTATTTTATTTACACAAGAATGAATCACATTTTGAATGATAACTGTAGTAAAAGACGTTATATAAACAGTATAGTAAATTTCGGTTAAATTCCCAAAAACATACCATTTCATTCACTGAAAATATCAGCTACTTTTTTCTTTGCAGCTGAAAAATGTTTCCGAAACAAAAGAATTAAAAGAGAATCCAAGAAGTGATTATAGATTATCGCGGAAACCTCGACCCAAATGACCTTAATGATAATCGCTTCAGAAGTTCGGTTTTGATTACAAAAAAAAACTCTTAATTTATCCATTAAAGGGCAGAATTTACGAATCTTTCAAGGTTTAAGTTTGTTTATTCCAAGCCCTCGATCTGTTCACAAAGCTAATCCGCCTTCGGGCACCAACGATAAAAACGATTGCTTCTAATCCTTTAAGCCCTCTAGCTTTTATGCGAAAAGTTGTATAAAATGTAGATTAAACCAACGACAGTAATAAATAGTGCATCATGGAAGATATATTATTATGACAATGTGGCTCTTGGCGCTCTCCCGTCGCTTCTTCTAATTGAATTTATGTTCAGACTACGGAGAAGGAGATAATTTAAGACCTTTACGAGCTTTTAAAACATTAAATGAATTTTAATTTTCTTTGTGAGACCTTGTAATGTCTCAGAGAAAATTCGATCAACATCATAATTATTTTCTTTAGGTTTTCCAGTATAATATAATAAATGAATAATAAATTGTATTATTTCATAATTAACACAAACATATGGCACTTTTGTTCGCAATCATTTTGGCGATGAAAAATAACGAAGCGTTACGAACATAAAACCGCACGCTAAGTATTACAATTTATATTCTTACAACACATTTTATAAAGCAGTACAGTATAAAGTCGTTGCAAACACTGCTCCCTAAATGTGCAGCCGAATGCGAACACTCAAATACTTATGAGGTAATCAAGGTCTTTATTACTCTGGAATAGAAATTCATAGATATTTTTTTGAAGTGATACTTCTTTAGAATTGTTATTTTCAAACTCGATGAAACGAAAAAATAAGTCCATAGAGACACAAACACATAAATGTATAGGATTCAGCCGGCGAGAAAATGAGATAGAACACATTATACGTGAAGTTAAAATATCAATTCACAGAGGGCGCGCTACCTCATACTATAAAAGATGATTTACAATTATTTACTAATGACAAAATTTTACATATCGACGCTTAAAAGGCAAACGTGACTAAGCGACAATAACTGCTTTATATGTACATAAATGATAGGCAATAACCATGTTCGATGCGCAAAAAAAAAAAATTTCTAGGTCTATTAAAATCATTTCAAACCTACAGCTAGATTCGTTAAAATATGTTTTTTTTTCAGGTATTTCAACTTTAAATTAGTCTGCTGTAAAGTTTACGCATTGTCGCTTAGTCACGTTTGCCTTTCAAACGTCGATATACTTAGACATTTAGGATAATTGTATTTTAATTTTTGAAGGTTTCACTTTTACCACGTTTGAATTGCACACATTATACAAACCTCTTCACCGTCTGAAAACGTATAATTATAATCCAGTCTGGCCCGAGCTCGGACTGCATCAGCGAAGTCGTCGAACCGATCGCCAGTAGGTAATTTTAAAGACACCCGAAGCAACGCCTCGTATGCCACACGTGCAGCTGCGTCCCGGCTGTCTCCCGCTGCCCAGCCAGTTTCCCCCCAATATTCCCCCTACGGATAGAACGGGCAAACCGAGAATGGAATATGAGCACAAACAAATTTTTTGTTTGATTTTATTTATTACTAGCCGTACTCGCCCGCTTCGCTGGGCATTTAAAATTAACAATATTATTTATTGTCATTATTATCAGGGAGTCCAACACTCATACAATTAGCCTATCCATTAAGTACATGTGTTTTCTACGTGGATACCAAGTTTCAAGTCAATCGGATGCACGGTTCAGTAGTTATAACGGATCATCCGTAAAAACCACTGTAGAATTATTTATTATATATTACTATAGACTATAGATTAGCTGAGTCCCGCGATGTTACCCGCGGTTATTGTCATACCGCGGATGACGCCGCAGCGCGAAGCTAGTCTAAAAAAAAGTAGCCTAAGTTACTCTTATATCATCAGCTACCTATCAGTGAAAGTCCCGTCAAAATCGGTCCAGCCATTCCAAAGATTTGCGGGAGCAAACAGACAGACAGACAAAAATTGTAAAAAATGTTATTTTGGTGTATGTACCAATCATATAACCAGTCAGGTCATAAGTATTGTCACACAGTAAAAACTTTTCTTTTAGAATGCTGGCCACAAAAAAGTTTATTGAATTCGAATTTCGAATTGTTCATGAAAATAAAAATGTATACTTTTAGAATTTTACTCATTTTTTAAATATGGAGTGGACGCTTAAAGAAGACCGTGTTGCAGTTATTGCGTTGCATCGTTGCGGTTACGCGCCAATTCAAATTTTTAACATACTGAAAAATTTGAATATTACCAAAAGATTCGTTTATCGTACCATCAAACGATACAATGAAGACTCTAGTGTAGATGACAGGTCAAGAAGTGGTCGCCCTCGGTCTGTTAGGACTCCAGCAGTGATAAAAGCTGTGAAGGCGCGAATTCAAAGAAATCCCAAACGTAAGCAAAAACTGTTGGCCCTTCAGATGGGGTTAAGCAGAACCACGGTGAAAAGGCTGTTAAATGAAGACTTAGGGCTTCGGGCATATCGAAGAATAACAGGACATCGTTTGAATGCTCGTCTAATGAACCTGAGACTGAAGAGATGCCGCGCTTTGTTGAAGCGGTACGCGGGAAAAAAATATCGGGAAATTCTTTTTTCGGATGAAAAAATTTTTACCGTAGAAGAGAGCTACAACAAACGAAATGATAAGGTGTACGCACACAGTAGTGAAGAAGCGAGCAACCGTATTCCGCGTGTCCAACGAGGTCATTTTCCATCCTCGCTCATGGTATGGTTGGGAGTTTCTTATTGGGGCTTAACAGAGGTACATTTTTGTGAGAAAGGTGTAAAAACGAATGCAGTTGTGTATCAAAATACAGTCCTGACGAACCTTGTGGAACCTGTTTCTCATACCATGTTCAATAACAGGCACTGGGTATTCCAACAAGATTCGGCGCCAGCTCATAGAGCGAAGAGCACACAAGACTGGCTGGCGGCGCGTGAAATCGACTTCATCCGGCACGAAGACTGGCCCTCCTCCAGTCCAGATTTGAATCCGTTAGATTACAAGATATGGCAACACTTGGAGGAAAAGGCGTGCTCAAAGCCTCATCCCAATTTGGAGTAATTCAAGACATCCTTGATTAAGGCAGCCGCCGATATTGACATGGACCTCGTTCGTGCTGCGATAGACGACTGGCCGCGCAGATTGAAGGCCTGTATTCAAAATCACGGAGGTCATTTTGAATAAACTTTAGTGTCATAAGAATCTATGTTTTGTTAAGTTCATTTTGGTATATGAATGGTTACATAATGAATTAACTTATTTCAATTATTTTACATTAAACATGTGACAGAATTTATGACCTGACTAGGTATTCATATGCATGTAGTAAAAAGCCGTTATTTCAATATTACAAACAGACACTCCAATTTTATTTATATGTATAGATGAAAACTGATGTTTTTTTTTTCGTTTAATATTTTATCAGTTCCGAAACTGTGCATGTTTAAAGTACCGGTTAGGATAGAACACGAGGCTGTTTTGTTTTGTAGCCAAGACGTTCTTTCAACTTCCTTTTAGCAAAATTCTAGAGCAAAACGTTGAATTATTACCAAAGTTACACAGGCATATCTCGTGTAAGTTTAAAATGATGCTATAAATCCCTTGTAGAATGAATTACAGATTTTGGACAGTAATATAATATATAACAATAGGAACAAAGCTATTGAAAAACTAGCTGCAAAAAGTTATTATAAAATAAATATCGTTTAATAAAAGAACACTCGTATCGTACGATATAGTTAGTATGAAATATAAATTTAAAGTATTGTAATACTCGTAGTCTCAATAGAATAGGATTCTTGTTTCTTCCTGTTGAGGTTTTTGTACAAAATAAACTTAAAAATCCGAAGGTTCTATTCCAGGAAATGAAACGAAGAGCACTATTGTTAATTCTTTTAAGTAACAAAAGTTTCAAGATCAGCAAACTAATGTACTAGTAGCTTTAGAGAATTGGATAAGCTAGCTATACGTAACTATTCTATCAAAGTTTGCAAATAAGCTTGACCGTGTCTCATTATCGCAGCGGAGCTATTGGAGATTCTATCTGATGTTAGCTCTGAAGGCCAAGGTTTTGTTCAATCTACCTTGTATGTGCTCTTTCTAAAATTGCATGTTTTCTTTTACTTTTTTTTTTATTGCTTAGATGGATAAACGAGCTCACAGCCCACCTTGTGTTAAGTGGTTACTGGAGCCCATATACATCTACAACGTTAATGCGCCACCCACCCTGGGATATAAGTTCTAAGGTCTCAAGTATAGTTACAACGGCTGCCCCACCCTTCGAACTGAAACGCATTACTGCTTCACGGCAGAAATAGGCAGGGCGGTGGTACCTACCCGCGTGGACTCACAAGAGGTCCTACCACCAGTAATTACGCAAATTATATAAATATATATACTAATTATCTTGTAGTTTTTTTACAGTTAGACAACAATAACTTTATTCAACCATAATTAACCCTTTGACTGTCATATAGGTCACTGGTGTCCTACGTGACGCACTGAAGTAATTATATCGATTTCTGTTACTAAGGCGCCAGAATATCTTCTAGACTCTGGGGACGGTGAATCTGTAGGGACCACAAATGTCCCCATAGCAACTAACAATTATATGTATGTGTTAGCGGTAATTATAATGCAATGATGATACGTCAGACTCGGGATTGTCGGGCTGTCGATAGCACGTTAGGTTGTAATCCCAATATACGTTAGTCTCTTAACTGAACACGTGTCTTATTAATCCTTGCCCGATATAGAGACTCAACAAATCCAAAGATACTGAGAATGAATCTATCTATTTCTAATCTATTTCTAAGAAACATAAACGACTAAAACATACATTAACAAACAAAGTAAGGCAAATTAGGTAATCCAGGCATCTAGTAACAGAAATCGGCCTAATTACTGCAGTGCGCCGCGTAGGGCACATCTGACCCACATGTCAAAGGGTTAAGACAAGTTTTACGGTTTAACCTTGCGTTTTTTTTTTAATTTACTTAGTCGTCCGTGACCACGAAAACTGTAAAGTATACGAAGCGTCCGAAATAATAGAATGACAACACGAGATTAAATCGTGAAAGAAGTTTTAATTGTATGTACGACCCGCGAAATCTGTAGAGAATAAATACTTTATTCAACAAATTCTGAACAATAAACTAAGTAACCGAATTTAAATACCAGATTTCTCGGCTTCTTGCTACCATATAAAGCTATATGAGTGTGGATTATAGTTTTGGGCGTGGGCGCTGTCTGTCTGACTTCAACGGTCCTTACGAACGTTTGGCCGTAGGTTGGATAAATCTGGATTCAATTGCAAATAAAGTTGAAGCTAAAGAAGGCTTACTGGTGGTAGGACCTCTTGTGGGTCCGCGCGACTAGGTACCACCACCCCGCCTATTTCTGCAGTAATGCGTTTCGGTTTGAAGGGTGGGGCAGCCGTTGTAACTATACTTGAGACCTTTGAACTAATATCTCAAGGTGGGTGGTGCATTTACGTCGTAGATGTCTATGGGCTCCAGTAACCACTCAACACCAGGTGGACTGTGAGCTCGTCCACCCATCTAAGCAATAAAAAAAGGCCGCATTGGACGGCAATATCTTTAATGCTGCAGCTAAAATTTAATGCTATCATGTAAGATCATCTAACATTGAATTCTAAAATATTTACCTGAAATATTTCGACGTCGAGAAAAGCCCAGTCTCCCCGCGTCATGCCGAGAGCGTGCGCCGCCAATAGGAACTCGCGTACAAGAGATCCACGTACACTCAAAATCACAACTGCGCAATAAAATTTAGTTCTTAATACATTATAGTTATTAAATAAGAATTTGAATATCAAATTTAAAAAAGACGACTGTCTCGCCAGCTGTGACTCGGCATCCGTGTACTAAGTGAACTCTTTTTATGTGACAGAATGGCTGAAATGTTTTTTCGACATGATGTCCAATTCTGACTAGGTTAACATATAATAATAGTCTTTTTGTAAAATGCATTATTTAAAAAAACACTAGTTTATATTTAAAACGCTAATAAAATATATTATATCATAATATTATTTATTATTTTACTATTATATATATTTTTAAATACAATGTATGTGTCTAAATTTAAAAAGTTCCTAATATTATACGGCACGCAGATAGAAAAACTTTTTCGAATCAAATTAAAAGCAATACACTTTCTTCGTTGAAAATTGTAATCAAATATCGATTCACTAAACGACTACTAAGTAGTTTTATTGGCATATAATTTTGTTAATTTTACTTTGAATTTTCTTTTAAAGATTAATTAAAATAATAAATTAGATAGATATTTTTTTTACAGCATGAAACTAAAGGATCGGATCGCTCATTCAAATGTAAATAAATGTTCTCGAAATAAGTACTCGAGTGATGTTACGTTAACGAAGAAAAGATATAAAAGATATAAAAGATAAATAACAATCCGAACACATTTCGGAACACGCTTTCGCTTCATCCAATTACTGTCGGATCATTGGGCGTGTGACTTTGAACAACAAANATTTTTTTACAGCATGAAACTAAAGGATCGGATCGCTCATTCAAATGTAAATAAATGTTCTCGAAATAAGTACTCGAGTGATGTTACGTTAACGAAGAAAAGATATAAAAGATATAAAAGATAAATAACAATCCGAACACATTTCGGAACACGCTTTCGCTTCATCCAATTACTGTCGGATCATTGGGCGTGTGACTTTGAACAACAAAGCAATGTCAAGTTCATAGAGAGATCGTAGTGATTCTTTTGTTATTTACAATGAATGCGATCCTAAACAAGGCTTCGCCTAATTATTGTTCTCAAATTTCAATTGAATCTCTAATATAACAACGTTATTAAGTGCGCAGTAAACGTTATAAATAACTTGTTGAATCGTCGGCTAATTTGATTAATTCATTAGAAATTCCGGTGTTTGGTTTTATTGTTTCAACGAGAAATACCAAAAAAGAATGTATTTATTTTATACTAGCTGACCCGGCAGACTTCGTAGTGCCTCAATCGATAAATAAAAGACCTAAACTTTTGTATAAAATAAACTAAAAACAAACAAAAGGAATCCGTGCGACGGGGGACACATTTAAAGGAAAAACAAAATTGTTATTTTTATTTAATTCCGAGCTTTTTCATATTTATTTACCTTTTAAACCTTCTCTGGACTTCCACAAATAATTAATTCAAGAGCAAAATTAGCCAAATTGGTCCATTGGTCGTACTCGAGTTTTAGCGAGACTAACGAACAGCAATTCATTTTTAAATATATAAGATAGATTTAACAATTATTTCTTTATAACCGTAACCGTTCCATTACTTTACATTATTTATATTAATTATTATAATGCATCTACCAAAGAAACTGAAAAGGTTTGGAAACTTCATAATTCTTAGATAAGCTTTAAATATGTAAAGTATTAGAGGGAAATAAAAGTAGAAAAGAAATCAATCAATCAAGTGAAACATACACCAAAAATGGCGTTTAATTACTAAATAAGTTATAATATTAGACCAAGTTGCATTCAAATATGTTATGTACGAAAAGATCGGTATTTGTAATGATAATTTGCATGTTATTTTTACAGTTTTCACTGTCATTGCGATGTGATTGCGACACATTGACATGTGATTTTTTTGTTTAATGATTTTGCTATTAAAATCTACTAGTTTTCGCCCTAAAATCCCACATACATATATGTAGGATTAGTGAGAACGGAACGTACAAAAAGAGTGTGGAACGGAGCGTTAAGATGCGAGTAAGACAAAACGGTAAGAAAAGGAAAAGAGAATGACAGAGAAAAGAAAGATGGGGAAGACGGTTAAATGAGCAAGGAGTAAAAAAGATGTCAATTAATTTTTAATTATTATAATAAAGAAGATTAAGAAAAAGAAGAAAAGAGTAAGAGTCCAAAAGTGGAATAATTTTATTTTATGTGCCACGATCCCAACTATACATATATTTATTTTTTTGATTTATTTTAAACTTACCACGGGCATACATACTGACGTCAAGAAGTAGAGCGTCGCAGGATTCTCGCTCGTTCCCGTCTAACTCCCGAACAGCTTTAAGCACGCCCTGCTTCCTGAGACCCCACTCGAGGCTTTTACCTTACAACAAGAAAGTTCCTTATAAAACACTAGCGGCCCGCTTCGGCTCCGCTCGGGTCTTTAACATAAATTTCAACAATATTTGACGTTGTTTTATTTTTTTAAATAAAAGAACACTTATTGCGGCATAACTACAATAGTTAGACACTTTTTGTAATTAATAATGTGTTCTACAAAGTCGTAGTACATTATTTTATTCTATCATCAATATATTTCGCAGCGCACGCGATGTAAAGAATATTTTAGGTATTTTTTTACACCATGGGTTACATTATTTGAGTTTTAGTAAAGATACCTAATTCATTTCAAAAAAGATTATAGCCTATGTTACTCGAGAATAGTGTAGCTTCCAAACAGTGAAAGAATTTTTCAAATCGGTTCAGTAGTTTCAGAGCTTATTCAATACAAACAAACAAACAAATCTTTCCTCTTTATAATATTAGTATAGAATATACGACGACAAAGATTTTGTCTAGAACTTATTGTCAATCAATGTTTGAAGTTCAATACCTCTCAGAGCATTCAATTCATATGTGGGTCGACATTATGCTAATGTAATTGAGAGGTCGTCTTCATGTTTCGAGTGATATTCATATCATAATGTCTACTTGCTCTAGTAATCACTTGAAATGTTTTGCTAATTGAATAGAAATAGATTTTTTATTTTATTGTTTAGATGGGTGGACGAGCTTACAGCCCACCTTGTGTTAAGTGGTTACTGGAGCGCATACACAGCCACAACGTAAATACGTCACCCATCATAGATTTCTTTATTTTTCATGGTCGTCGTATAGCGGCAGACAACAAAATAGCTGGTAAGGACTGGAGCAAAAGGACCGAAACAAATAGAGTGCATATGAAGACTACCTACACTCAGCATTAGGTGAACACGGGTTAAAGAAGAGAAAAAAAGATTTATTGATGGCTGCGTGAGATATTCTACGTTATAAACATAGACAAGATATAGATCCTAACATAGATAATATCTTAGAAGTTCGACGTTATTATTTACGTATTTGATTCTGTATCAAAGAATTTAAACGCTTGAATAGCAAGACTGAGTTATTTGTTCCAGTTGATGTTGGTCAAGATTTTAGACCAGAGTAATAAAGTTTTTGTATTATCATTATCATCATTATGATCATATAAGCGGAAGTCGTCGTAGCCTAAAGGATAAGACGTCCTGTGCATTCGTATGTAGCGATGCACCGGTGTTCGAATCCCGCAGGCGGGTACCAATTTTTCTAATGAAATACGTACTCAACAAATTTTAATGTTCACGATTGACTTCCATGGTGAAGGCATCATCGTGTAATAAAAATCAAACCCGCAAAATTATAATTTGCGTAATCACTGGTGGTAGGACCTCTTGTGAGTCCGCACGGGTAGGTACCACCTCCCCGCCTATTTCTGCCGTGAAGCAGTAATGCGTTTCGGTTTGAAGGGTGGGGTAGCCGTTGTAATTATACCGAGACCTTAGAACTTATATCTCAAGGTGGGTGGCGCATTTACATTGTAGATGTCTATGGGCTCCAGTAACCACTTAACACCAGGTGGGCTGTGAGTTCATCCACACATCTAAGCAATAAAAAAAATAAAAAAATAAAAATACATAAAAGATCCTTTTACACAAAAACGTAGATGCAAATCAAACTTATAAAATCGTGTTTTATAAAATCACTATTAAGAAAGAAAAACAACAGAAGCGTTCATTAATTACACTTCCCTCGATGCCGAATAGAAATTACGAATTAAAATTGAAACGAGAAAAACTCACATCAACACAAACTCATTTGACGCGTGCCCGTAGAATTTCCTAAGGGCATTAATTCCATTCAATTGTCGTGAAAGCTTGTCTGAAACTGTTTTGTATTCAATTTCGTCAGCTGCCAATTTGTCGCGTTATCACAGACATGGCATTAGGGGAAAATCTTTCCTTATACGAAGCGAACGTATTATAGTATAAAATTGAACCTTTGAGAGAATATCATTAAGATTGTAGGAACTACCATCAACGATTACTTTATTAAAGTCTCTTTGTTAGTGAGTTTCTTTTTATTTTATTGTTAATAGCCTAATTGATCAAGGGCAGGTGCTTCGCGAATGCATCTACTTTTTTTTCTCTTTACCNAGGGGAAAATCTTTCCTTATACGAAGCGAACGTATTATAGTATAAAATTGAACCTTTGAGAGAATATCATTAAGATTGTAGGAACTACCATCAACGATTACTTTATTAAAGTCTCTTTGTTAGTGAGTTTCTTTTTATTTTATTGTTAATAGCCTAATTGATCAAGGGCAGGTGCTTCGCGAATGCATCTACTTTTTTTTCTCTTTACCTATGGTGATAGCCTTGAGAGGCTATATTATTTATTGGATGAATAAAACCTAGTTTAGCGAGCGAAGTTCATAACAGTAAATCTGAGTTTTTTTTAATTGTTATTAAATTTTGTTGTTATTAAAAAAGCATTGTAATACTTTTGACATGTTATTGAATTAAAACATTTAAGTTTAATTAAGCATTCAATCTAACAGTCATGCATTCCACTTTGAAGGATGAGAGATCCGATATACGATTACAACAAAATTGAGAGACGGCCTCATACTTCAAGGCCGACGACGGCTGTATTCTGTTTACTTCGATAAGGCGATGTGTCATGAAAATCACCTCCTGTTCTGTCCTAGACATGTCCTTACGGATACATCTGATGCACTAACAATGTCATTAAACGCCTGTAGGCATCGGAGGATCTTAACCATACCTTTGGTAAGGGCATGACACGAAACTTAACCCATACATCAGTCCGCTGACTCTTTCGCTGGATCTTCTCAGCAGCTGGCGATTCCGATCCATTAGTAGATGCATTCATTATGGATCCTCCCGATCTAATAACGGTGTTTTTAGGTACTTCAAGCACCGGTAATCGTCGAGCTCGCGGCTTGGCGAGTAAATTAACCCGCAGACACAGCCCACTGAGTTTCTCGCCGGATCTACTCAATGGGTCGCGTTTCCGATCCGGTGGTAGATTCTGCGAAGCACTGCTCTTACTAGGGTTAGTGTTCTAGCAACGTCGTCAGGTTTGAGCCCCACGAGTTCACCTACTTGTTATGGTTACGCTAAAATGGCCTCTCAAAACCATCAGCTTAGGTAGAGGAAAGAAAAAAGTTCTGAATTAATTGTAAGCGAACGTACTGGCCATTAGTAAAAGATACGTAATCCACGTGTTCGGCGTATCAGTTTTAGTAACAAGACATATCGCACATACGGTGCGATAACGTCACTTTTAGCAAACTATGTAGGTAATTGTGGCGAGTGAGCAAGTCAACTCGCACATATCAACGCAGCACCGAAATCATACGATTTTACGTCACATCAGGTGATCCGAGTGCCGTGTGCAAAGACTGTTAAACCACGCCCCCTGCAACATGTCGCCGGCGCATTTTATTTGCCGAAGTGGTAAAGACACAAGATGGCCACGCTTTGATCTATTGTTCTTCAGGCGGAGGACATGTTGAAAGGGGCAGCAACTCCTGCGCAAATTATTATATAAGTTATAGTTATAGTTCTAGTTTTAGATTTCACTATAAATACGATTGTGCCGTAATTGTGCGACAGACCATCTGGAATACTTCATAATTATTCAAAAAATTCAACATCTTATTATATAATTCTTATATAGTTCTGCTAGGCTATAGAAATAAAATGAACTACAAACTTCATCAGTAAAAGCAAACATATCTCTCGTCTCACTAATAGCCATTAAAAAATGTATTTTCTCACAATCAGTTCAGTGTTCATTTAATTTTTCATTATTATAAAAAAAAAAAAATTGTATTTTTGACTTGTTTTTTCGCTGATTGCAAATATTTTTACTAATTTTAAAATAAAAAAAAGGAAATTTTGGAAAAAAAAAACCCGCTGTTTGTTTGGCCGGTTCTTCTCAGGACTGTGGCTTTTTTTGGAACCGGTGGTAGAGTTAACATTGTTATTTATATTTTGACATTCAACAAGTGTGTTATACTGACATCTAAGTTGAAATAAATTATTTTAAATTTGAATTTTGTTAACAAATATTGCATACGTGACTTTATAGCAAGCACCGTATGTGCGATATGGTATTCAACTTACCGACCGTTAATGAAAATAGATCCGACTTGTCTAGTAGGAGAGCGACGTGCGACCAACCGAATCTCGTGAAAATGCTGTTGAAGACGCGAGGTAGCCGACACTGGCAGTAAGACATCCGCGTTAACGTAGGGTACTTTCCTTTGTCGTTGAATAACGTTTGAGGCTGTTTAAAAAAAAAAGAAATTAGTATTTAGGAAACCACATATATAGTAGTAACCTTTTTTTTTATTGCTTAGATGGGGGACGAGCTCACAGCTCACCTGGTGTTAAGTGGTTACTGGAGCCCATAGACATATAAAACGTACCGCGCCACCCACCTTGAGATATAAGTTCTAAGGTCTCAAGTATAGTTACAACGGCTGCCCCAGCCTTCAAACCGAAACGCGTTACTGCTTCAGGGCAGAAGTAGGCGGGGTGGTGGTACCTACCCGCGCGGACTCACAAGAGGTCCTACCACCAGTAAAACCTTTCGTTTTCGCGAATCACAAACATAATTAGAACTACTGTTACGTTTTGATTTGGCGCTTTTTATTATTCATATATTATTTCCAACGTTTACAGTTTTAGTGGTCACGGTCGGCGCAAATGTAGGTTTAATTACAACTGCATATACATAATTTATCTATGGTTATTTCTTTCCAATAACTTATTTCCTCCTTTCTTTCTTTATATCGTTAGAGCGTATTTTAGCCACAAAGTACTCATACTCTTTGCACATGCACACATGATATATGCAGAACATGATGGACAACAATTATGAACACAATTGGCGGTGACCTCGTATCTTTATGTGACAGTATTCCCTTAAGGATACACGTGTAGAACACGAGCTCGTCACCTCAACTACTAAATCTGGTAGATGTTATTAAATATTTGTCTATGCTTATTTCTTTCCACTAAATAGTTCTTATATCTTGTTGTTTCTAGAACTACTGACACACCACACGGTCCTGCCTATGAACACTACAAATAAAACATACAATAACAAAATTACCACATGTTATAACTGTGTTTTTTTTTTGTTAATATTTAAAAAAAAAACCAGACGCTACTTACAGCTGTACCTTTGCGGAGATTCCTTAGTCTGTGCATTCGGCTAACTACACTTGCCGGGGCTGCCAATTCTCCTTCTGACGGCGGCTGAATACAAAATAATGCAGTTTAATAATATTTAAAGCTATTTACGCATGGTAGAGTTTTGCGAACTCCTACAAGCAGATACTACCAGCCTTCTTATTTCAGGCCAAGGGTCGAACCTCTTAAGAGATTCACGCTACCAAGGAGGCCAGCCGGACTTGGTAGCAACCTAACTATTTATGCCGCGAAGCAGTAATGCATTCTGGTTTGAAGGGGGTTTAGGTCCAACGGTCCAAATATTTTAATTATTTTTTTATGATTGAGGGATCACTGTTGGCCCAGACGCTTTTCCAGTTTCACCAGGATAGGTGAGCGAGCAAAGGCTCAGACAGGAGGTCCAAATATAGGTCCAAATATGTTCGAAGCTTGTATATATGCAGGCTTATCTTGAAAATGTCGTCATTCAGCCATCTGTCATATCAGTCACATCAGTCAATATCTTATTTATTATTAAAAAAAAGAACACAATATTCCTAACCCAAAAGTACATGTTATTATCCGCAACAATATCTTGTGTTCTATGATGGCCACCCGCCACATTTGAAACTTCATGTCTCGTAATGTCAACGGATTCCAGTAACAGCTTGCATCAAATGGACGGTCAGTTCGTTCATCCGTATAAACAAAAATCAAAAACATAATATTTAATATCGATACTAATATTATAAAGCTGAAGAGTTTGTTTGTTTGAACGCGCTAATATCAGGAACAACTGGTCCGATTTGAAAAATTCTTTCAGTGTTAGATAGTCCATTTATCGAGGAAGGCTATAGGCTATACAACATCATGCTAAGACCAATACAAGCGGAGCACCAATAAAAAATGTTTCAAAATCGGGGTTTTTTTTCCCTTTTAAGAGCTTCCGCTGCGTGCGCTGCAGAAACAATTAAAGTTTCGCTAAAATAATGTAAGGCAGAATTGTTCCCCTTTAAAAGATCTTAAAAAAAGTTCGCGACAGCATATGTCTATATGTTAAGGTTGGCTCACTATAACGATTTTTATGCTAGCCAAATTTGTTCTAAAATAAAGCATAATTTTAAACTATTCCACGCAGACGAAGTCGCGGGCAAAATCTATCTAAAATATATAACCGTAATGTGTTGCAAAACTATTTGTATCATATAAGATATAATCTATTTTTTCATTACAAAACACACAAATGTTCATACGAAATAAATTGAAATGGATATCCGTGTGGAAATTCAATACGCGAAAAGATTCACTGCGCGCAAAATAAAATACACCCACGAGGGTAATGAACTATGTGTTATGTTAAAAGAAATCTTATATTACAAAAGAAACATTTGTTTGCGAATCCTTGTAAAAAACTGTATGTAATTTCATGTTGCATAGGTACTGTCTTTTATTCGTAGCTTCCTAAAAAAGATAAGCTTACCGATTAGCATTAGTTTATTAAATGTAATAATGCACTTTTATGTTTCAAATTAATAATAATAATAATAAATATTTACTAACGATCACGCTACGTTAACTGGTCCCGTGCTAAGCTCGTAAAGAACTTGTATTACAGGTACCAGATAACGGATATAAATGTAAAAGTTTTATTATACACAAACATATATTTAGTATACATCCATAAACTTGGAAAAGACATTTTATATTTATCATTCAAATATCCTCCCTTGGCGGGATTCGAACCCGCGACCCCCTTGTGTAGTGACCATGTCACTTACCACTACACCAGACGGCTGTTAATTTAAATTGATGTTTAACTGTAAAAATTATGTCAAACGCGCTATTGTTTAATTCTGTGGTATGTAGCTATGTAATTGCTGATGTTATACCAGATGCTATACTAGTTAACTGACCCTAATTTAGTAAACATAGCATCATTTAGATTTCATCACCTCAATCAATGCTTCACCAGTCCTAAAATGTATACGTAGATGGAACCTATCAATACAAGCAACCATTCACTTAATCCAGAACATTCTATCTTCGCCGCTGCTTTATCCCCGAAACCACATCGTATTGTCCAATTCCAAACGCCTGTTCGTGCGAAAGACGTAATATGTGTACGTATAGGTGTGTGGAGCCATCGAGACGACTTCTCTGGATCATTAACGCTCGGCACGGAGTTGCCAGGTTAAATAAAAATTCATTGAAAATAAAACAGGCAAAATATCCATTGTTGTTTAGAAGTATATAAATTTAAATTTGACCTCTATTTTCAACTGATATTACTTCAATTAGCCTTTATATTTTAGGGCAGGATTATAATTACGTTCCTTCGTTAATTAATTGCGTAATTCCGAACGTATTTTTTCGTCACTTACTAAAACCTTTTTAATATTCCTAGGTCTTATTAAAAGTCTTTGTAAATTTATAAAAAAAATTACGAAGTAATAACTGAATAACATTCATAAATCAATATATTGTTTATTGATACTGATTTCCGGTACATCTGCACTTAGCTTCACTGAGAGCTCAACCAATTGTGTTTGTTACAAAGCCGTAGCTTAGTAATGTCACGTATAATTCTGGCCTGCGAAACGTCATTTAAAATTGATTTATCAGAATAAGCTCCACTTTTTAAAGCCAATTTTAGTTTACTGTTTTATTTCCGAAGCCGGTGTCACTACATAATTAATAGAGTATGCAAGATGAAAATCTTGGCTAGATTGAAGATGACTTTCACATAATGAAGTCTTCGCACGAAGCGACGGCTAATTTTCCACAAACCTGTACAATCCGGTAGCGTTGTTCAAGCGTGATTTAATATTATGCGAGCATGAGTTATGAATTATAATTTTTGATATTCATAGTATATGTACCTAGTCAGGTCATAAATTCTGTCACATGTTTAATGTAAAATAATTGAAACAAGTTTATTCATTATGTAACCATTCATATACCAAAATGAACTTAACAAAACATAGATTCTTATGACACTAAAGTTTATTCAAAATGGCCTCCGTGATTTTGAATACAGGCCTTCAATCTGCGCGGCCAGTCGTCTATCGCAGCACGAACGAGGTCCATGTCAATATCGGCGGCTGCCTTAATCAAGGATGTCTTGAGTGACTCCAAATTGGGATGAGGCTTTGAGCACGCCTTTTCCTCCAAGTGTTGCCATATCTTGTAATCTAACGGATTCAAATCTGGACTGGAGGAGGGCCAGTCTTCGTGCCGGATGAAGTCGATTTCACGCGCCGCCAGCCAGTCTTGTGTGCTCTTCGCTCTATGAGCTGGCGCCGAATCTTGTTGGAATACCCAGTGCCTGTTATTGAACATGGTATGAGAAACAGGTTCCACAAGGTTCGTCAGGACTGTATTTTGATACACAACTGCATTCGTTTTTACACCTTTCTCACAAAAATGTACCTCTGTTAAGCCCCAATAAGAAACTCCCAACCATACCATGAGCGAGGATGGAAAATGACCTCGTTGGACACGCGGAATACGGTTGCTCGCTTCTTCACTACTGTGTGCGTACACCTTATCATTTTGTTTGTTGTAGCTCTCTTCTACGGTAAAAATTTTTTCATCCGAAAAAAGAATTTCCCGATATTTTTTTCCCGCGTACCGCTTCAACAAAGCGCGGCATCTCTTCAGTCTCAGGTCCATTAGACGAGCATTCAAACGATGTCCTGTTTTTCTTCGATATGCCCGAAGCCCTAAGTCTTCATTTAACACCCTTTTCACCGTGGTTCTGCTTAACCCCATCTGAAGGGCCAACAGTTTCTGCTTACGTTTGGGATTTCTTTGAATTCGCGCCTTCACAGCTTTTATCACTGCTGGAGTCCTAACAGACCGAGGGCGACCACTTCTTGACCTGTCATCTACACTAGAGTCTTCATTGTATCGTTTGATGGTACGATAAACGAATCTTTTGGTTATATTAAAATTTTTCAGTATGTTAAAAATTTGAATTGGCGCGTAACCGCAACGATGCAACGCAATAACTGCAACACGGTCTTCTTTAAGCGTCCACTCCATATTTAAAAATTAGTAAAAATTCTAAAAGTATACATTTTTATTTTCATGAACAATTCGAAATTCGAATTCAATAAACTTTTTTGTGGCCAGCATTCTAAAAGAAAAGTTTTTACTGTGTGACAATACTTATGGCCTGACTAGTTATATACGAAACGCTAAGCTCTATGCGACAGCGCTTAAGGCAGTGAGTTATTTAGCAAATGTTAAAGCAAGCAAAAAAACACCCTTGTGGAGAGTATTAAGCGGTAGGCAGCGGCTTGGCTCTGCCCCTGGCATTGCTGATGTCCATGGGCGGCGGTAACCACTCACCATCAGATGGGCCGTATGGTCGTCTGCCTACAAAGGCAAAAAATAAAAAAATAAAAAACCCATAACATTCATGAACGTGTAGCGTATCTGAATCTTATATTTCAAATACTCGTAAAAGCGTAACACCAAAATCAACAGTGTGCTTAGTGCGAGTTTTTTAAAGTTCTCGATAGCGTAAAAGTTAACTCAACTTCGTATGGAGTTGGAACTTAGGCAACGTTTGCCGCTAGGGGCGCTGTTCCAACTGCATACAAATTTGAGTTAACTTTGACGCTATCGAGAACGTTAAAATGCTCGCACTAAACACACAGGTAACACTAGAATCCACTTAACATTTAATTCCATTTGAGTTTCGCTTCAATGCCAAGTTCAAAGCGAGGTCGCGAGCTTTCTCACTGATTTGTTTATACCCTTGACCAGATACTGTCACGCTACATGGAGCCACATCACTCTGGCACACACTCAATCACAATTCATCGCTTAAAAGACAGAAAGCTTCTTGCAACAAAAATAGAAAAGACTTTTTCGAAAATCCACAAATGAAAACTATACAATTGTGTGCAACATTGGGCGACCTTATCGCTTAGACCTATCTCGTCCAAATAAGCGAGCACAGAATCAAATTACTTCGTATTGAGGACGACAGTTTCCAAAAATGTAGTCTAGGTAAATTGTTAATTAAATAAATAAAAACTCTGCGACAATTCACACCATGTTACCTGATCCCAAACTCG